GAAATAAAATATTCAAAAGTCAGATGCGTCGTTATCATAGCTTACATCGGAGATCCGACCCTGAACAAAGCGCAGAATGGACCCATCAAAGAGTTGCAACATGAAATAAAGTCGTGCTTTCAGTTCGTCGATCTAGGAGAATAAAAGCTATTGATTCCTCCTGTTTCATACGCCCTTATTTGTTACGTGACGCAAAATATTACTAAAAAGGCTAAAAGTCCATTCGTTGCGTGTGTGGCTAAAATTCTAAATTAAATTTACATTCATTAAAATTTGATTGCATTAATTTCAAATATCTCACGGAAATTTTCAAAATTAATTTCTAAATGACCTTTCCCGATTTATATAATTACGTAATTATAACTATTTCATACAAAATAAATATGTATTAAATGTATATCAAATTTGATCTCTTTTTCTTTATATTTTACTCTTATATTTAGGCAATTTCTGGTCTTAAAAGCAATTGGAATCCTGTGACGCCGTACTTTACGATCAAATTACGATACCTCGAAGAAAGAATGCTTCTTTATCGCAAGGCAATAATTCATTCGACGAAGAAGTCCGAAATTGACTTAATATTTCAATTTAGAACCTCATTATCTCTTCTCGCTCTCTTATCGATTATCCCTAAACAAGTCGTATACGGGTCGAATAGATAAAAGATAAAGCCGAGACGATTTACTAATCAATGTCTGTCGAAATCTCGGTCATTACACTTAAATTGATAACGTCTGCGCTCTTGAACTGGCTACTTTCTATTAAAAAATCAACAGTTCAAAACAGACTCTTAAAGACATCTAAAAAAATTTTCTTCTTCTTAATAAAATTATCTTTCTTTACTTTCTTAATGCTCAGTAAAATAAAATTTTACTTTCTTCGCAACAAAAAAGATTATTGTCCACGTCTTCATTTTTTCACTTAATAAAACTTCGAAGCTGAATTTCACGATAAATATTTTATAAACCTTCTTTTACGTGCTAAAAATTGTAAAATATGACATATTTTCTGAAAGAGTTCATAAGAATAAAAGGGAAGCAACTAAAAACTTGTTCAGATACATTTTAGTATGAATAGAACTACAATCCTACATGTCTCTTTCTTAGTCCGGAAGAACCCGGCAACACTTACTACAGCAAGACAGGAAAAGTAAAAGCGACGCACAGAAGAAGAAAATAACGCACGTCTCCTCTACATCATGCGCACGAGAATGGTGGATTCCTTTCTCCTTGACAATATTAAATCGCTCAATAAGAGAACGTACGTGCTATTCCATAAAATAAAAAATAGGTTAAATTATTTTTCTAGTAGCTCTTGTCAGTTCTGATTTGTTTTACAAATTACGAGATTGTGGGATAGCGCACTTATACATGTCTCCAAACTAATAATTTGAAGACTGGTAAAGAAAATCTTTTATGGAAAAATAAGATGAAATCGTCGGATAAAATTTCTTCATAAAGCTTTATTTTTGAGAAAAATTACTTGGATGATTTTCAGTAGCAACTTTCTAATAAAAGTCCATTTTCTCACAAAAACGACTTTCTGCCAGATAGCTCACTCCCCCATTGGGCCACTCGATTGTGTTTCACGTCTTGTCGAGCACGAATAAACTCCTTCGGCTTTCATTGACTACCGCCGACGCAATAACGCATCCCCCATGGGGCGGGGATATTTCTACCCTGAAGCTCATCTCATAAAACTGCAAGCCTTGTAACGCGAGACGGCGCGGCGCCTCGGGATATGTAAGGTAAGAAAGGATTATTCCTAGTCGATTTAAAGTAAAAATAGAACGCGAAAAAACCATTAAATCTTTTTGATCTTCAATAAAAACTGGAAAATATTAACCTGGAGTTTAAATTAACTTCAAAAGTGGAAAAATTTAAATTTATATAATCAGACATAAAAGCCTTAAAAAATTAGGTTTATCTTCCTTTCAAATTTAAATTGAGTTAAAAACTAAAAAAATTATAATATTTAAACGGAATAAATTTCAATAAGAAAACCGTAAAAAATGCTTTTCAATAAAATAAAGCCTTAATCTCATTTGCAACTTAAAATTTATTATGAAATCATAAACATAATAGTATAAAATAGAATTTTGTATATTAAAAACATTTTCTAATTATTATCGATTATCACAAGTTTTACAATTTCAAGAAAAATATTAATTCCACAAATTGTTAGGTTAATTTAATTAAAAATAAGAAAGAATAGTTTAACCTATAATTAATAAATATATTTTCACAAAAAAATTTCTAAAAATTTAAACCAACTTGCAAGATCAGATATTTAAGACATTTTATCATCAAAACTATTTTTTTCCCCCAAAATTATATACCAAACTTATAACACCGAGAATAATTAAGAAAGAAGATTTTGTAATATCGCAAATTTCTTCTTTATGCTTAAAAGACAAAGAGATTATAAACTAAAGGGATTGCTCTCGGATCCAAGAGTGAGAGAGGAAGAGAGAGAGGAAAGTTTGAATCCATTTGTGAGAACCCGGCCTTCCTGAAATTGCAATCTGAATGTGGAAAAATGGAGCGTAGTACAGTTTGCGGTACATAACTTATTCAATAGGTCGGCCTCTATTCACCGCGGCTAGCGAAAAGAGGTAATGGCGATAATCTCGAAAGAAACCAGAAATGTGGAAAATGTGAAAGAGAGATGTGGGAGAAGAGAAACGCGAGAGAGAAATAATAAAAACGCATCACATCTCATCCAAAATTAACATGGAGAGCTTGCACGAGTTGCACGTGAACAAAGCAAACAAACTCGGACAAGCGTGACCTGTACACAATATTGCCTGCACGGTGTTCTAGATTCCCGTGTTGCTTTATCCATGAACTTTTTGGCTCATTTCCTGACTTTACGTCAACGTAAAACATGAGACGTCTTATACCCTTTGACATGTAAAATCTGAAAAACCTCGCATTCGCGAACTGATAACGAAACAAACGTTCCTCGTTCAAGAAAGAACTTGTTTAACGTTGAAATATATAATAGATCCGTCCCGTTTCTTAAAACGTAATTTCGATTCCTCGAATATTGTCGGATTTTGACATTTCAAAGAGAAAATATTTTCGAAATAAAGCGAAAGCGCTAACAAAATTTGGCTCGATTTCGAAACAAATTTAAACAGTTGCGAGTGATTGCGGTTGGAAATGGCTAGGTGAAAAGCAAATTTACACTCGTGCTGCGAATGATATTCCGTTTGTTGTCTCATGTTAACAATTGCAAATCAGCTGTCGATCACGGACAACTGTTTAAACTTGCCCGTGTACCAACGTCACTTTCGTCCCATTGCTAAACTACATGTGTCCTCGAAATTTCAAACCTTGAAAAATAATCGTCCTTGAAAAATAACTGACACTCAGGAGAAATGCATACAAAACGCCTGAAAATTGAAATGTTTCTCGTGATTCTTACACCAATCGGGAATCGATTTCTCGCCTCAATGGAAACGTCTATTTACTCTGTCGATTGATTAAAAATCAGATTAAAAGTAAAGAGAATATTTGAGTGTTAAATATAATAATAAAACAAAACAAAGAAAGACTATCAGGTTGAAAATAAAAGAATTTCCAGGCAAATTAAGCTTCGACAGAAAAATTAAGTGGCAAAATTATATTCTCCAGTCAAGGGAATTTTAACAGAACTAAAGTTCAACAGAATTTTAATTCAAAGCTTTGTTACAAAGATATGCAATGTAAAAAAAAAAAACTGAAACGATGTGTTGAGAAAGAAACACTATGAAAAAGCCGTCTCCAAATTGTGCGTCTGCAATTAAAAGAACGTCCGGCGGTAATATGGGCACGCTTTAGATGGTGAAATAATCCGCATTTTATTTTATTCACGTCATGTATTATAACACGGACTGCGTCTTTAAACGTTGCGTGTAAACGATATCTTACGCTATGTATATCTCTAATTGAAAATGAAAAGGCGGCACCTTTATTTATAGTGTTTATTTACTCGTACTTTTCGTCACAGTGTTTTATCGGTCGGAATATCTCTGCAATCGATCGCGATAAGCTCGCGGGTCACTGTAGATTAGTATGAATGCATTCCTATGACGTCGGTATCGAAACTTTTCAACACCTTTTACTCGGCGCAGATATGCACTCATAGTGCCTTTGAGATTGCTTGATTACTGCTTGTTTAACGCGACTGATTTCGTTTCAATGTTTACAACCAATGTTATTAAAAAAGAGGAATTAACAGTGTTGAATATGGCGCTCTAGCGCCTTGAAGCGCCTCTATGTTCGCACAGACACGCCACGCATGCTAGGGAAAATTAAAGTTCCGTTGCGTGAGCGCTTACTGCGTTTCACTATATACTCTCACTATCTATGTACTCTACCTGTCTTGTCGTTCGTTCGTTACGTTGCAGTGTGTATAAAGTTTCTTTTCGTTGCATTACCTTTTTCCAAAAAGACACACTGCCTATTGTATTCAAGACTTATAATTACACGTATCTTAACCACAATACCTGGCGGAAGTCATTACATAACCCTGCGCAACAAACAGTTAATTTTTTTGCGCGTTAAACACATGTAAATGAATATCCGATATATTGATTCCTCGTCTATTTGATATTCAATCGATTTTACAACGAGAATTAACATAATCGATACAAGGATTAACATAAATAATTATCTGCCGCAGGAGTTGATGCAGAACACACGTCGACAAAAATTAATATCATGATAAATTCATTTTTCTGAGAATAATTAACGATGATCGATGTTATTTGAAAGTAAATCAATGTGTTTGCTTTCCCTCTTTTATGCAAAATCACAACAGAAAAGATTACAACTTCGTTATTTTTGGGCATTGGATGAGTTAGTATACGCTCGCGAGCACGCCAAATATAATTTCAGCTCGGCTCTGAAAAGAGATCGAAAGCCGCGGAGTCCGCAAACGCGCGGAATTTTCGTATTCTTCGGTTACGTTAAATTCCATTTTGCGGAATTGGGTAACTTTACAAAGGTACTCACCGGAACAGCAGGAAGCCCAGACCCGTAACCGCGGCTCGTCGAACGTCATCGTTAACATCAGAAACCTGTTACAACAAAAAAGATCCGCAGATACAGCGTGTACCGCGGAAAATTCAACCTGCGGTCTCTTTGAGTTGAAATTGACAGAACCCATCTGTCTCTCGAATTAAATCAAAATCAGTGTGTAAAATCCATTTTATTTTTATATGTATATGCAAAATAAGTGTATTTATTCAAAATGGCTTCTCATCTAAATTTATTTAAATATTAATAATAATACTTTATCACCGAAAAAGAAAACACGCTCAAACATTTATAGGTCATTCTATGCATAAGAAACCAATAATGAAATAATAAATTAGATATAGTGATAAAATAACGATATAAATTAGAGATAACAAGAATCGAAAAAGATTCTTTCTAAATAAAGCAATAAAATATACTCTCTAAATCTCATCGAGTGGTTTCGCAACATAATATATTACAGTGATTGCGATAGTAACTCCAAAAGAGAGGGTTGTCACTCTAAATTGAATAAATACGGGCATTCATAAGGTAAGAGTGAACTTTTCGCTCAAATTTTTAGAGCAACTGCTCTACTGGAGTGATATGATCTCATTCTAAAGCTATAGTGAGTCACGATTCACTAAAGATCAACTGATAAATGATTCTAATAAAGTAAAATTTTTCACTCAAAATTTTAGAGTGATATAATTCACTCCTATGGACACTGATCTACTGCACTCAAAAAGAATGCCCTTTCACTCAAATGGAGTGCAATTGCACTCTAACTTGTGTAAAGTGCAATTTAACTCTTTCTTAGAGTGACAAATCACAGGCTCAATTTTCACTTTTCGTTACACTTGTATTTCACTCGTTTTGAGTGATACTTCATTCTTTGACTTTTAAAAAATATAACAACCGAATACATCGATAAAAATACGGAATCTACAGGGAGTACGTATAATCAAATATAAACACTTACGGCAACGTGTAGGAGTTTGCGGATGGCTTGGTTGTTTCCGGTGCCGCAATAAGCCATCGCCAGAGTGTACATACCGCTCCTACGCAGGATCGGATCCTTGTCGGCGCACAAAGACGTCACTAGAGGATCAGCTTCCTCGAGGCGGCCGTACATCGTGAAGGCGATACCGACCGCCAAGCCACGCAAGATCTTCTCGTGCTGCGTCTCTTGGGCGTACTGGAACAGCAAAAAACCTCGTAAAAAGGTGGATATTCGGCTAAATGTCAAAACCGAGAATATTTTTTCTTTACTCAGTGAACGCAAAGAAGGTAATAATCTAGTAATGTTTTAGCTTCGCAATAGTCAATAGAACAGCTGCGCGCTTATAAATACACACCATGGCCTTCGATATTAATACGAAATTATTTTTCTAACTAATAAGATGTGATAAAAGCGTTTACGTCTTATTGTCGTATTTACGTTTAAAAATTGCCTCGCTTAGAGATTATTTCTATTCATGCAGTTATCCAAATTGAAATTTAATGTTATTCTACAAAAAAATTCTATAAAAAATTAATGTTATTTTATAAAAAATCTCTAAAAAAAACTTTAAAAAAATCTTCAATAGTTACAAATTAATATTTTTCGATTCTCATGCGAAGAAAAAATTTCCTTGTATAAAATAATTTTCTCCTATAATCCTTCTTTTTGTTTCTGAAAATTTGGTTTCGTTGAGTTGCGTGCTTTTAACGCTAAATGATCCGCATTTATTTCGCACGAATCTACAATTAATGCGCGCTGGCCGGTTTTTGCAGGAGATCGAGATATGCTTGTGCGTTACTTAATCACAGCCGCTGGGATACATTATGGTACCCGTAATGGATAATTCGATTAAACCGACCGACTAGTGGCAAGTTATGATTCATTTAGCATCGACCTGCTGCTGCTTGCAGCGGTGACCGGCAGCGACGAAAGTTAAAACTCGTTTCAGCCGCGCGTGAAACTACTTTCCGCGAGAAATGTCAAAACTAAAACGCGACTACGGTTTTCGGAGGCTCGGAGAGAAAAACTTTGTGGATTAATGCGCGAATAGCGTGAGAAAAAGAACAGCGAAATCGTGTCTTTATCGGCCATTTCCCAAAGAAAATAAAGAGACTTATCTGAAATCATTTAATGTCAAAGAACACAGATAAGTTCCTTTAAAAATACCTAATAAAATGAAATTATAATAAATCTTAAACCCAAATATTTTGTATCGAAACTAATATAAACTATAAAATTCCAAAGAAATATTCAGCGTCAAAACATCTTAAATTATTTAAAATTATATATTTCAAATTAAAAATCTTTTAATCAAGAGATTATAAGACAATTGCAAGCTGCCGTTTCTGCAAATAAATGTTAACATCCAACTGCGTAATCATAAAACGGATTAATTAATCTCTTTCCGAAATGACGCATGTACTAATTGATACCCATTAACCGATATCAACGTCTTATCAAACTCAACGTGTAAATGCCCGTCGGCGAGCTATAAAAGAATCGTCAGCAAAATCGCAACGAAAATCAACGTATCGTATCGATTACCGTGAAGATGGGTTCGCCAGCGATTGCAATCTGTGCGTAAAAAATAATTATTCTCAATTTTCGTCGTCGCATATTCGTAAAGAAAATATTGTTTCTTAATTTTATTGAGTTGCATTTTGTGAAAAAAAGTTATCCATTCGCGGAGAAAAAATATTTCTCTTCGATTTCGTGTCTTCCTGTGTCAAAAAATATAATTATTCTTCGTCTACAGTGTTGTCCATCGATAATAGAAGGATTATCTTCCTGGGCTTCGTAATAAAAAAAGTATGCAAGTAGAAACTTGCACATTGCTTCCTCATAGTTTTTAAGTGTGCAAATTATAAATTTGCACGTTGTTTAAGCAACATTATTCATTTCGCTCATAAACTTTCCTCTTTTGAGCTTTTTTATACATAATTATTAGTAGATATTTATTAATTTGGCTTCCTCATAGAAAAAGCTTTATGAGCGAAATAAAATGTTGCTTAAACAACATGCAAATTTATAATTTACATACTTAAAAATTGTAAGGAAATAATGTTCAAATTTATAATTTGCACACTTAAAAACTATGAGGAAGCAATGTGCAAATTTCTACTTGCACACTTAAAAACTATGAGGAAGCAATGTGCAAGATTGCAAGTTTATACTTGCACGCTTTTTTTTATTCTGATAAGCTTTATTACGACTAATATCTGTTATACTAATATCTGTTATACTATTACAAAAATCAATTAAATAAGAGTTAACGTGATATAAGACGGCAAACACCGTCATAATGAGCGTCGTGTCGTCAAGTTGTCGACAACATTGCTCGTAGTTGAACTCTTTGAATCATGCCCCGATCTTGACTTAATTGTTTGGATCATACCCCGATCTTGGATGATCCGATCTAGACTTCTAGGCAATTAAGCCAAGAATATAATCCTCTTCTAAAAAGAAGATGTCATCGATACTCGAATCTATCGAAATATTGTTGTCGCTTTTCCGCGATGCCGATTGGTTCTCTTAATTGTTGCGCTTACTTCATGAGCGGCTGTCATGGCATATTTTGACAGTTGTGTGGTTAATAGTGTAAAGGCCCCCGCACAATCAAAAATATAAGGAACAAAGAACAGATATTAGCGATTAGGAATAAGAAATCAGGAATAAAGCTGGTGTAGCATCATTAATACACGGCTTCCGATAGATTAAAAATCTATTGCCTTTGTTTTTCGTGCGTCCAGCTTTATTCCTGATTCCTTAGTCCTAATCGCTAATATCTGTTCCTTGTTTCTTATATTTTTCATTGTGCGGAGGCCTTAATAATAATAACAGTGAAATATTAAAAATAAATAGCGCGCGCGCAACGCGCGTCTGTGATGTCTAGTAAGGATGCGTTCGGAAACATTACCCGGGTACAACGGGAATACTCTCTTCTTCTAATTCGCTAAGATAGAAAGAGAAGGGAGTATACTCGTGTATACTCGAGTGACGTTTCCGAACGCCTAAAACTATAAATAGCCTGATATTTCAAAATTTGCCACACATATTTCTATTAAAAAAATTATGGACCTTTGATCGCGTATAAAAATGAATCTAATCAACCAAATCTTAAAAAGTTATATACAAAATAGGGGTAGAAAAAAACTGAAAAATATAATAGAATTAGAAATAGATCGATATCTCAAATATTGAGAAAGCTACAGCGTAAAACACACTTTTCTGAAAAATGAAAATCCCCCTAAAATCCATACCGATCGACGGATTTTAAGAAAATTAGAAGAGAACATACTTTCTATGATACTCTATTTGTGTGCAAAATTTCAACCCGGTATCTAAAAAATTGTAGAAGTAGATGCGTGTACAAAAAATCCGTGCACACACACATACACACACATACATACTTCCGGACGTTTTCTACTAATGTGTTTTCTCATTTTTAGACATTTTAGAACATTCTAAACCTATTTCCATCAAAATCTCGAAAAAATTTTTTTCCACCATCACAAAGCTTCCTCTATGAGGAAGCAAAAAAACAAAATATTCTTGGATTTCGCGTAAATCTATAACGGATTTAATTCCATTTTGTGAAGAATCACTTTAAACCAACATACTTTTGCCTGCAGTGTATCCCACTCTATTGGCGTCCCTCGCGTCGAATCCGAACTACACGCTCTTCGCTGACGATCGTGGGATGTCACACATAATTGACACCAGCGAATCTGTACTTACACAGAGCGACATCGAGGAGCTCAGTGAAGCCGCCCTTAAAACCACCTTCCTGTTATACACTCGGTAAATATATTCGAAATACTGATGCAAAATTGCAATGAAGATCACGGTTTCTAATCGGCTTTTCTCCTTAGGAATCGGCATGCCGGACACCCGATTGTCATCAATGATAAGGATAGCGTGAGGAAGAGTTCCTGGAATCCTGCTCATCCGACTCGTATTGTCACTCATGGATGGCAAGGTGACATAAACCCTGGATCGGCTTGCGCCTTGATTCGAAACGGTAAGATCAATCTTAATAACTTAAATACCTGAATCCTTGCACTTTCCAGGATCTTCAATATAATTTTTCTTTAATATAGTTTTCTCCGTCCCTTTACTTTAGCTTTAAATTCCTGAACTTTTAATTCTGTAAATTCTGTAAATTTAATTTACTTTGGTTTCCCCGATTCCTTAATATTATAGAATCATTGTTTCTCTCTCCTCGTTACTTTCAATTCTCTGATCCTCGGGATTCCGTAAATTCTCAAACATAATTTGAATTTCTGAACTCTCGGATTCCACGCGCCGTTCGTTCTTAGTGCTCCGAGTTTCAGTTAATTTATATTTTATTAATATTTCCTCTTTGATATTCTCAGCTTATCTCAACGTCGGCGATTATAACGTCATCCTCGTCGACTGGAGCAAGGCGGCTGGAAATCTCTGGTACTGGAAAGTCGCACAGAGTGTGCCACTAGTGGCGCAACGCGTGACAGAATTAATAGACTTTCTGGAGAGCGAAGCTGGTCTGGATCCTTCCAAAACCAGAGTAGTAGGACATTCTCTGGGAGGACATGTCGCCGGTCTCGCCGCTCGAAATGCAAGAGGCGAAATTGCTGAGGCGATAGGTAAGTCTAATAAAAATCATTGAGAAGAAAAAAAAATCAGTTTAAAAATAAATAATAATACAATCAAGAGCTTTCAAAATCTTCCAAAAAAAAAAAGGAATGAGAAAGAAACGGCGTTTTCAAAAAAACTGTTCGTGAAAATAGTAAGATATATAAAAGATAACAATAAATATAAATGAAAAGAAAAAGCCTCGATAAACTTGGAATCTTAAAATATTTCTGTGAATTTTAGCTAAAAATCCCTCAATCTGATAAAACAGAATCCGATTTGCAGCTTTAGATCCCGCGAGACCCTCGTTCGGATCGAAAAAACCGGGAGAGAGAGTGGACAAATCGGATGCAGCTCGGGTCCACGTGATTCACACGAGTACTCTGGGTCTGGCAGAACCAATAGGTGACGCCGACTTTTATCCGAATGGGGGCAAGAATCAACCGGGATGCAATGTGATCGGTAAATAAAGCTTGCTATCGAACCGCCGAAATCAACATCGCGTGCTCATTAATTAAAACGGTAATTAATTCGCAGCGCTCGCATGCGCGCACTCGAGGTCTTACGAGTACTACGCCGAG